AAACCAATAAAACCCATTACAAACAAGGCATTTGTTGCATCCAGTGGGGACATAATTACTGATTATAATTACGCGCTGCGTAAACATAAAACAATGTCTGCATTTGTGATCGGAGAAACAACAAACAACAAGCCTACTCTACACTGCTCAAAACTCTCTTTTGAATCATCATTGGCAAATTATTTTAATATAAAAAATGTACTTACAGAAGTCAGAAGCGCCAGACTGTACTTGCAAAGTTGGAACTGCCCAACTTTAGAAACAGCCTTTGTGCCACAGACGCATTAGGCTACTAATGCGTCTGTGGTTCAGGAAACAGTCCTCATCCATCCTCCATAAAATGCTCTGGACACATTTGAATATTTGGGTTGAACTGTTCTGGAACAGTGTTGTAAATACAACTAAACCACTGATTTCTAGTCATGTCCTCTTTTGGAAGGCCAAACAGAGTAGTTTCGCTTTCACAACGAAACACACAGCGACTCCACAACATGGCAGCGGCGGCAACAGTGAGAATAAAAGTTATGCCTTCTTTCTTTGCGTGAACATTTGGGCAGCGTTATATAAATCTTCCCACATCGTGACGTAGACATGTGGGGGCGTGTTAGAACGAGCCGTTTTAGGTAGGCGTTGTTGACTCTTAACTTTTATAAAGAATATCTCTTTGGATTTGAGACTTTAGTCTTTGCAACTTTACAGATCTTCTTTATGCAGCAAGAGCTTGTAACACTCCAAAGAGAAAGGAAAAATTTAAATCGCATCATATGACCCCTTTAAATGCTTGAAAAATCCCACTCAGAGACTTTGGTCTCAGAGTGGTGATGCAAATGAATCCAAATGAATTAGCATTTTGAATCAATGCACTAAAATAATTTCTACTTATTCTCAGAACTCTACTGCCTTTTTATCATGAAGTTTGAATAAATATCAATATTTGATACATACATTACAAATATACACTACCATTCCAAAGTTTGAGGTCAGAAGGATTTGATCAAATAAATGATAAATGTAGCCTAGATTTTATATATTATAAATCTTACGAGCCACAAAGTTTTGAATAGTCATATATGGTGAATATTTGGTGTATTATCCAGCTAAATAGTTGCTAAATGTCTGCTAAATATCTGTAATGTTAGATCATTTTACAGTAATTTCAAGATCTGAAAGTAAATTCAATAATGTCACACAGACACATTATCTCAACATTAAAATCTGGAAAGATGCTAAGCATGGGGAGCAGAATAGCTCTTGTTTATTCTAATATGTTGTTTTGACTTTTTTCATTTGGTCTTGATTTAGTAACAAAAGCATGAGTCACTCTCACGGCGTGTGTTGAGGTCATGCCGGATTGTATTACCATCACTCTTGCCACAGAGCTGAAGACGTGTGGCTGAACCTAATCAATTCTGGAGACGCAGTAATAGCGAGAGACAGTCAGGGCAAAAGGTTGACAATTATGCAAACACTGTGGACTGCAATGCAAATGTCCTCACAAATTATCTCTAAGATTATTTTTGACATTTATGCAAGGTCCTATTCAATTATGTGTCTTGGTGGCTATTCAGCAGCATATCATGCTTTGGCTTGGCAGATTAAAAATGGACCGTAAGTGTGTTTTGTGGAATTCTATACTGGTTTAACTTGGAGTCAGCCTTAGGTTGCAATTTAGATTTAAATTGCAGACGTACCTTCTCTGGATCCACCGCTGTTATGACCCACACACAGTGTGCGTTATTCTCATACTGGACGGGGTAATTTGGAGACGTTATGATGCCTTTAGGGCCCCGCAGATTAGAGCCACAGGTCCTAGCTGTTGAAAGGGTAAACAGTACAAAGAAAGTAAATGCATATTTAGCAACTGCCATGTTTTTGTAGTTATTGCTGTTGCTATTGAAAGGAATCCAACACACTTTGAGTTATATGACAATAGGATATTCGAAGACATGTAATCATCAATATAAGAATTGACTGCATTATAACCAGGCTTTCATCACTATCGCTTTGTCAGCTGCCTAGAGAAGCATTCAAAGGCTTTTCCAAAAGGTAGGCATGTGTCATTCATAGAAGGCAATCACTGCAATGTGCAAGTTCAGTGAAAACAAACAAACAAATGAATCCAAGATGGCAGATGAGCAAAGAGAAATGCTGGTTATAAATGTATTTCCTTCAGTAAACAGTGCAATCTAAATATAAATTGCCTATTTTACTTAATGCATGTATGCTGTAAGGAGTATTGAGTTTTTAGCTTAGCGACATGCTAATGTCAAACTCATTTTCAACTTACAATCGTTTGACGTTAGCATTTGGATAAGAATGAAAATTATCATAGTGAACTATTTTTTATCAGTGTGTTTTTGTGTTGAATAGATTATAAATCAGCATGTATAACTGATATTTCTCTTACTTAACCTTTTTTTCTCCTTTTTTCACTGAGCTTGTCACAGTGTATTATTGGATTTCCTTCTCCATATGCATAAATGAAAATGTGGCCAAAACTAAGTATTTTAGAAGGCGTCTTATAATGCTACCTACCTTTTGGAACGGTCTTTGAGTCCACAGTGTAGCCTACCTATGATGCCTAAAATGCTTTATTTGTACGCAGCTCACTAGGTTTTCGAATAGATATTTCCATCCCGCCCCACACTAAAAACACTTCCTTTGAACACATCCAGCCCTCACGACATGAGCTAATCTATTTAAGGTCATGTCTCAGAATAACTTGACTCAATCATTGACAAAGTCAGGGTATTTTTTCCAACCCTATACTGTGCCAGGGTATTAACTGCTTCTCCCTTGTGTTTAGTCAGGGATTTTCTTTGACAGCTTAAAAGAGCAGCCACTCCATTGCTGTGGCTTCATTGGCTTCCTCACAGGGTACTAAGGAAGGTTTGGATAAGTAGAGATGTGAAGAGATAGCATATATTCTCAAACAGGGCTTCTTCACTGCCTATGTGAAAATGAATCCAAAATGTTTTCCAACCAAACAAATCCATAGACAGTTATTTTCTCAGAAACATCAACCACTAAACTAGTATTTCCTGAAGGAAATGACTCTTAACTTTTATAAAGAATATCTCTTTGGATTTGAGACTTTAGTCTTTGCAACTTTACAGATCTTCTTTATGCAGCAAGAGCTTGTAACACTCCAAAGAGAAAGGAAAAATTTAAATCGCATCATATGACCCCTTTAAATGCTTGAAAAATCCCACTCAGAGACTTTGGTCTCAGAGTGGTGATGCAAATGAATCCAAATGAATTAGCATTTTGAATCAATGCACTAAAATAATTTCTACTTATTCTCAGAACTCTACTGCCTTTTTATCATGAAGTTTGAATAAATATCAATATTTGATACATACATTACAAATATACACTACCATTCCAAAGTTTGAGGTCAGAAGGATTTGATCAAATAAATGATAAATGTAGCCTAGATTTTATATATTATAAATCTTACGAGCCACAAAGTTTTGAATAGTCATATATGGTGAATATTTGGTGTATTATCCAGCTAAATAGTTGCTAAATGTCTGCTAAATATCTGTAATGTTAGATCATTTTACAGTAATTTCAAGATCTGAAAGTAAATTCAATAATGTCACACAGACACATTATCTCAACATTAAAATCTGGAAAGATGCTAAGCATGGGGAGCAGAATAGCTCTTGTTTATTCTAATATGTTGTTTTGACTTTTTTCATTTGGTCTTGATTTAGTAACAAAAGCATGAGTCACTCTCACGGCGTGTGTTGAGGTCATGCCGGATTGTATTACCATCACTCTTGCCACAGAGCTGAAGACGTGTGGCTGAACCTAATCAATTCTGGAGACGCAGTAATAGCGAGAGACAGTCAGGGCAAAAGGTTGACAATTATGCAAACACTGTGGACTGCAATGCAAATGTCCTCACAAATTATCTCTAAGATTATTTTTGACATTTATGCAAGGTCCTATTCAATTATGTGTCTTGGTGGCTATTCAGCAGCATATCATGCTTTGGCTTGGCAGATTAAAAATGGACCGTAAGTGTGTTTTGTGGAATTCTATACTGGTTTAACTTGGAGTCAGCCTTAGGTTGCAATTTAGATTTAAATTGCAGACGTACCTTCTCTGGATCCACCGCTGTTATGACCCACACACAGTGTGCGTTATTCTCATACTGGACGGGGTAATTTGGAGACGTTATGATGCCTTTAGGGCCCCGCAGATTAGAGCCACAGGTCCTAGCTGTTGAAAGGGTAAACAGTACAAAGAAAGTAAATGCATATTTAGCAACTGCCATGTTTTTGTAGTTATTGCTGTTGCTATTGAAAGGAATCCAATACACTTTGAGTTATATGACAATAGGATATTCGAAGACATGTAATCATCAATATAAGAATTGACTGCATTATAACCAGGCTTTCATCACTATCGCTTTGTCAGCTGCCTAGAGAAGCATTCAAAGGCTTTTCCAAAAGGTAGGCATGTGTCATTCATAGAAGGCAATCACTGCAATGTGCAAGTTCAGTGAAAACAAACAAACAAATGAATCCAAGATGGCAGATGAGCAAAGAGAAATGCTGGTTATAAATGTATTTCCTTCAGTAAACAGTGCAATCTAAATATAAATTGCCTATTTTACTTAATGCATGTATGCTGTAAGGAGTATTGAGTTTTTAGCTTAGCGACATGCTAATGTCAAACTCATTTTCAACTTACAATCGTTTGACGTTAGCATTTGGATAAGAATGAAAATTATCATAGTGAACTATTTTTTATCAGTGTGTTTTTGTGTTGAATAGATTATAAATCAGCATGTATAACTGATATTTCTCTTACTTAACCTTTTTTTCTCCTTTTTTCATTGAGCTTGTCACAGTGTATTATTGGATTTCCTTCTCCATATGCATAAATGAAAATGTGGCCAAAACTAAGTATTTTAGAAGGCGTATTATAATGCTACCTACCTTTTGGAACGGTCTTTGAGTCCACAGTGTAGCCTACCTATGATGCCTAAATTTGTACGCTTGTACGCAGCTCACTAGGTTTTCGAATAGATATTTCCATCCCGCCCCACACTAAAAACACTTCCTTTGAAGCCCTCACGCCCTCACGACATGAGCTAATCTATTTAAGGTCATGTCTCAGAATAACTTGACTCAATCATTGACAAAGTCAGGGTATTTTTTCCAACCCTATACTGTGCCAGGGTATTAACTGCTTCTCCCTTGTGTTTAGTCAGGGATTTTCTTTGACAGCTTAAAAGAGCAGCCACTCCATTGCTGTGGCTTCATTGGCTTCCTCACAGGGTACTAAGGAAGGTTTGGATAAGTAGAGATGTGAAGAGATAGCATATATTCTCAAACAGGGCTTCTTCACTGCCTATGTGAAAATGAATCCAAAATGTTTTCCAACCAAACAAATCCATAGACAGTTATTTTCTCAGAAACATCAACCACTAAACTAGTATTTCCTGAAGGAAAGAGCAGTGTTTGCACGTCAGCAAATAAACAGTGTTAAAGGTTTAGGGAAGAGTTTAGCCAGTGTTAAAGGTTTAGGGAAAGGTTTAGCCATTGCTTCTGTGTATTGTAAATTTCCCCATTTGACATCTTATTTCAGCCTGGTCTCATGTTTATAGGTATTAATACGTAATATTTTCAAGCACATAACATACATTTTTGCACGTTTTTATTGATGCTAAAACGTACAATTTAGGCGTATTTCAACGTTTAAAACATACAAATCGCTAAAAATATTTACGTATCTTTTGTATCATTAAGATATTTGTATCAATGCATTTTTATAATTTTATCAATAAGCGATTTAGGTTTTTAGACCCCTTAACCTTAACCCCTTTAATTTCACATTTCTACTATTTTGTTCATGTTTTAAACATTCAACGTTTTAAAAACAAAACATTATTTATCCATCTGTAACTGCAGGTTAAATGCATCCATGTCCCCTTTGAGAT